TAAATATAGAAGAACAATCGGTTTTTTCCCTGAAAGAACTGTCTAGGTTTATTATTGCAGATTGCTTATCTCTTATTTATCAGATACGATTGAAAGAATGTGATGAGATTTTGTCACTAGTAGGCAGTTTTTTTTCTTATGAAATAGGGAATAATTCAATAGATTAGTTGTAGAAATCGACGTCATTTTTTTTTGTAGACTTTTTCATTTTTCATTTCAATCAACGACAACCGTTTGAAGGATGACCGCTAAACAAGGCGCTGATCAACAATTCACGCGCAGACAACGATTTTCAGATATTGAAGAAAATCCGCGTCGAAAATTAATGCCAATCAGTGGCTATGAAGAGAAGCCAATCGTTCCACTGGAAGAGGCTGTTGAACCTTTGAAGGACATTGTACGTAAAATCAAAGATAATGCCGCGTGGGCAAAGTGGAAGTGTGATGATCCACCAGCAGATAATCTGTCCGTTGATCAATCAGCGGCCATTATACTCTATACGATGGAGATGGATAATGAAAAAGAGTGTGTATATCATGCACTCAATTCAACTCTTCGCAATGAAGATCGGAAAACTCTTAAACCATGGTTTTTATATTTACGACTATTACTTTCGGCTCTTGCTCTGTTGCCAACCCTTCCGATGCATGTTTTTCGTGGAATCAGAGGGAACTTTCAAGGGGCATATGAAGCAGGTGAAAAAATAATTTGGTGGGGATTTAGCTCATGTACGACAGATGTTAGTGTCCTGAGCAATGATCTTTTTTTTGGTTCGACGGGTGTCAGAACTTTATTCAACATCGATTGCAAGACGGGGAAAGATATTAAAAATCATACTGCTTTTCCACGTGAAGGTGAAATTCTTTTACCAGCGGCTCGGTGCTTTCAGGTGGTGGCATGTCTCTCGCAAGGTTCTGATATAAGCATCGTACAAATAAAAGAAATCGACTCGCCTATTAAACTAGTTGAACTTGGGCCACAAGTGACTTCGTCAAACATGATCATACTGATAAATATCTAATGCGATTTTTTCTCTTTATTTCTAGAATACTGCGCCATCAACTGGAGCAAGTGGAACTGGCAGCACGGGAGCAGCATCATCGGTCACCATCAGGTAAAAGCAATCTAAAAACGCGAAAAGTCAAATATTCTGCCCTTTTTTAGCTTAGGATCACTTGGCATCAAGGATCAATCGAAAGGTAGGCGTTCAACATAAATAAATGCGCTTTTTCTGTTTCGTCTTATTTTTGATTATGATTGCGCTTTGTCAATTATCGCTATTAGATCAAACTAGACGTACTTTGCTGCGATCATTAGAGAGAATCTTCGAATTACTATTCTAGCAAGATATCAATTTCAAAGGAGAAACTAAGACTATTAGTCAAGATGAAGGAAATACGATTTAAGGAAGAATATCACAACTGAAAAGATACAGTAGAAAACATCAATTGTAAGCGATCTTTTGAATACTACGAATGAAATACTAGGCTTTTAGGAAAATCGTCGCGCTATGCTTGTCTACTTGTAAAATGTCGAACATAAAAGAATCTTTGAAATAGATCCTTGATGAAGCGTTTTATTGACGTATACGATAGTACTCAACAGAAAAAAACGCCAATTGTTTTCATTCACTGTGAATACAACGATTACTTTTTCTAAAACTTAAACATGATCATTCCCATCAAAATGAATCTAAACATATTAACTTTTAAACACGAGATTCAAACAATAATTTATTGAATCAAGCAAGGCGATCTAAACTATCTACTAATCTCGATTATCATTGAATCGTAAATATCCCTAAAGCTGACAAAACACCATAACGATATCTTTTGTTTAACGCCACAAATATTATTATATCTATATGCGAATATAATTATGAATAATATTTTCCTACGGCTTTTTGTAACAAGTATTAGATTAAAAAAAAGAAAATCATATTTTTCTCTAGTGAGGTTGCAAAAATTGTTTTTTTTTATGAGTTCATCGGGTTTTTGTTTACTCCATTTTCGCATGTCCTCTTTGCAAAGAAAATTATCAGTGTAACCTTTGTGGGGCTAAAGCGCGAGATTCACAAGGCGTCACTGTTATAAATCTATGGTTTATTTGAAAGACGTTTGAAACATAGAGTTCTTATAATTCTTTATAATACATAGGTGAGCTCGACAATTTTGTGTTCTTGAAACTTGTCACATTTGTAAATAGGTTTCTATCAAATTATTTCATTCATGCAAGTTTGTAATATTTGCAAGAAATCCAATTATTATTTTCATGTACTTCTTCCTATATAAATTCTATTATCTCATCGATTATATATATATATGACTTAAACCAAACTAATACGCAGATATGATTTATTTGTTTATTGAAGTATTAAATATTAAGTAATAAACGCTACTTCAGCACTTTATTAATTAAGTAATCTGTCTTTAATCAGACGTTGATGGACTCTCTGAGGAGAAACTGGAAAATCTC